GTCTTTATCTGTCTTTCAATTCTAAATGATAGCTTTGCCAGCTAATCATCTTGTTTGCCGGCCTTTGCTTTTTCATCACTGAATATTTCCTGCCAATCCCTTCTGGCTTGCAAAGTTTCTGTGGAGAAATCAGCTGACAGTCTTATGGAAGCTCCCTTGTGGGTAACTAGCTGCCTTTCTCTTGCTGCTTTTAAGATTCTCTTTGTCTTTAACTTTTGGCATTTTAATTTTAATTATGATGTGTGTTGGCGTGGGCCTCTTTGGGTTCATCTTGTTTGGGACTCTGCACTCCCTGGGCTTGTATGTTTGTTTCCTTCACCAGATAAAGAGAGTTTTCTGTCATTATTTCTTGAAATAGGTTTTCAATTCCTTGCTTTCTTTCTTTTGGTACCCCTGTGATGCGAATATTGGTATGCTTGATGTTGCCCCAGACGTACCTTAAACTCTCTTCATTTTTCTTGTTGCTGTTGTAATTGGGTGTGTTCTGCCACCTTCTCTTCTAAAATGCCGAGTGGATCCTCTGCTTCATCCAATCTACTGTTGATTCTCTGTAATGTATTCTTCATTTCAGTTATTGTAGTCTTCATTTCTGACTGATTCATTTTTATGTTTTCTATCACCATTTTTATGTTTTCTATCTCTTCGTTAAAGTTCTCACTGCATTTATCTACTCTTCCCCCTAAGTTCGTTGAGCATCCTTATAAACAGTATTTTGAACTCTACATCTGGTACATTGCTTCTTTTCATTTTGTTTAGTTCTTTTTCTGGAGCTTTGTTCTGTTCTTTTATTTGAGATATGTTTCTTTGCTCATTTTGGCTGCTTCCCCATGTTCATTTCTGTATATTAGGGAAGGCTGCTATGTCTCCTGTCTTAAGAGATAGAACACATATTTCTGAATGAAAAATTTTAATGAAATAATACTGATTTTTTTCTTTGTCAGCTACACTGCAATATAATTTTATTTTATTCTTTTTACAAAAGCCGTTTTGTTCCAATAAATTGATTTGCACAGTTAAAAAACAAAACAAAACAAAAAACCCTGGTTTTGAGGACTGTTATTTGTTTCATGGAGCCAAAGTTTTTAAAAGATATATTTAGTTTAACTCTGCTAAACATTTTTATAAAAAGCCGTTTTTCTACCATGGACATACTTTGAAGATTTATGCTACAACTTACAAATAACAAGTCCCATGTAAAACTAAGAAGAAATCAAAGCACTGTTGGAATTCAAATTATTATGTGTCATGTTACTTCTCCTCCTGAAGGTTCCTAACTCTTTTCAACCATTGCTTTAAGGCAGCCTGACTCGATGAAGTAAACAGAACTTGAATACAGTGACTTAACTATACTTTATTAATTTATGCTTAAGCCACAAAATCAACCTTTCCAAAAAAAAACTGAGTGCAAGTCAAACTGCCAGCTGAAAAAGAACAGCTGTATGCCCTCAAGTCTCCTTTTCACCATAGTTTACCTCTATACAATGCTCAGTAAAACCCACATGAATAAAGTGATGGAAATGTCACCTTATGTTCATTAAGTGTCATCAGTTTTTGTGTACCCAGGCTGCCCTCCTGCTCACACCAGATGCCTGGTAGTGATCACGACAGCACCTTTATTCAATAAGTTTGTATAATTGAACTCAAAAAGATACAGTTTTACCTCCAGTCAAGCAAAAGAGAAAATTATGTTTAATGCATATTAAAGGAGCACTTGTTGGAGATTGTGAGCTGGATTGATTCCAAGTTACTAAAATGAATCAGCTCGCTACAAAATGTTAACACAGCCACTTTATTTGTTTATTTGGACTTTTTAAAAATTAAATTTATTGGGGCAATATTGGTGATAATAAAATTATATAGGTTTCAAGTGTACAATTCAGTATTACATCATCTGTATACTATATTGTGTGTTTACCACCCCAAAGTCAAATCTCCTTCCAACACCATATATTTGACCACCTTTACCCTTTCATACCTTCTCTACCCCTGTTCCCTTTGGTAACCACTAAACTGTTGTCTGTGTCTATGAGGTTTTTTTTGTTTGTCTTGTTCGTTTGATGCTTTCAGTTTTACATCCCACATATGAGTGAAATATGGTTCTCAACTTTTTCTGCCTGACTTATTTCACTTAGCATGATTATCTCAAGATCTGTCCATGTTGTCGCAAATGGCAGTATTTCATCTTTTCTTATGGTTGAGAAATATTTTATTGTATACATACCACATCTTTACCTAATCATCTATCGAAGGACACTTTGGTTGTTTCCATTTCTCGGCCACCATGAAAAATGCTGCAATAAACATTAGAGTGCATGTATCTTTATGGATAAATATTTTCAAATCCTTGGGGTAGATAACCAGAGAGGGATTGCTGGGGTCATATGGTTATTTTATTCTTAATTTTTTGAGGAAACTTTATTCTGTTTTCCATAGCGGCTATACCAATTTACATTCCCACCAGCAGTGTATGAGGGTTCCTTTTTACCCACAACCTCTCCAACACTGGTTATTACTTGTCCTGTTGATGTTAGCCATTCTAACAGGTATGAGGTGGTGCCTCATTGTGGTTTTGATTTGCATTTCCTTAATAGCTAGTGAAGTTGAGCATCTTTTCATATATCTTGGGAGAAGTGTCTGTTCTCATCCTTCACCCATATTTTCATTGGATTGCTTATTTTTTGTTGTTGTTATATGAGTTCTTTATATATTTTGCATATTAACCCATTATCAGAGGCGTTGTTTGCAAATATCTTCTCCCATTTGGATGATTGCCTCTTTGTTGATGGTTTCTTTTGCTCTGCAGAAGTTTTTTTGGTTTGACATATTCTCATTCATTTATTTTTGCTTTACTTTTCTTGTCTTTGAGGTCAAATTCATAAAATCCTCTCTAAAACCAAGGTCTACGAGTTTAGTACCTATGTGTTCTTCTATGCAATTTATTGTTTCAGGTGTTATATTTAGGATTTTGATCCATTTTAAATTAATTTGGGTGTATGGTGACAGCAGTCTAGTTTCATTCTTTTGCATGTGGCTTTCCAATTTTTTCAGCACCATATTGGAGAGGCTTTCTTTTCTTTATTGTATGTTTTTGTCTCCTTTGTCGAAAATTGTTTGCCCGTATATGTATTTGGGTTTATTTCTGGGCTCTCAATTCTATTCCATTAGTCTGTGGGTCTCTTTTTCTGCCAATAATATGCTGTTTTGATTATTGCACTTTGTAGCATAATTTGAAGTCAGGCAGAGTGATATCTCCGGCCCTGTTCTTTTTTCTCAGGATGGCTTTGACTGTTCGGAGTCTTTTTTGCTTCCTTGCAAATTTGATGACTTTCTGTTCTATTTCTTTAAAAAATGCCATTGGGGTTTTGATGGGGGAGTGCATTAAATCTATATTGGAAATAATAAACAAATACAGTAAAGTTGCAGGATATAGTATCAATGTACAAAAGTCCATTGTGTTTCTATATACTAAAAATGAAATTTCAGAAAAGAGACAAAAAAAATAATTCCTTTTGCAATTGCAACAAAAAAGAATAAAATACCTAGGAATAAACAATAAAGGATGTGAAGGGCTTATACACTGAATACTAAAAGACATTATTAAAAAGAAATTGAAGACGACACAAAGAAATGGAAAGCTATTTTGCGTTCCTGGATTGGAAGAATCAACATAGTTAAAATGACCATATTATGCACAGCCACCTTAAACATTAATAAGATAGCTGATTTCTAAAATCTGGAAGGAGAGGGTTTTATTTAAGCCTGCTATTTAGAAGAAATGCAATTCTACCTCAAGTAACTTAAATGGGACTTTCGAATAACTGGGAAAGAATTTCTCTTTTGGATGAGAAGGCAAAGAAGAATTCAACTGATTTTCAAGCAGAATAACAAATGTAACAGCAATACTTTTTGCGCACACATTTATGTATGTGACTGTAACGTCTATAAAAGCAGTTCTCAAACTTTGATTTTATGATCCTTTCCCACTTTTAAGAGTTACTGAGAACTCCAAATAACCTTTACTTATGTGATTTATATCTATCCACTTTTATCATTTTAGGAGATAAAACTGAGAAACTTAAGAATATTTATTGATTCATTAAAAGATGGTAATAAACACATTATATATTAACATCAACATATTTTTATTTAAAATAAATTTTTCAAAACAATCAGCAAGAAGAGTTATTGTTTTCTACCTTTGCAAATCTCTTCAATGCCTCGTTTGATAGATGACGCTTGGAGTGTCATAGTCACTTCTGCGTGCAGTCCATTGCGATATATTGTTTAGGTTGAAATAGATGAGGAAAATCTAGTGCACCCAGATATGTAGTTGAGAAAGAAAGGACCTTGCAGCCCCTGTGAAAGGGACTCCGGAACTCCAGGGGTCCTTGGGTCACACTTTGAGAACTGCTATCCTATAAAGTAGTTTGGAAGAACACATGATTGGTGAGATTATTAGCAGTCCTAATTTTTTTCTTTTTCATTTACATATGTTTTGTACAGTGAAGATGGATTACTTGTGCAAAGTATAAATGATAAAAGAAGAAACATGAGTATGTTAAGGAAAGATTTTAGAGGACATAGAGACTGAGACAGAGAAGTTTATATTTTGGAAACCAAGGAGCCTCTGTTATTTCTTAAGTAGGAAAATGACCTGCTCAAAATTTTATTTGAGAGTAAATAAATTAGAATTGGAAGGGAGAAGCTACTTCAGAGGCTGTTACAGTAATCTAGGTGAGTGGCGAGGTGGGCTATGCCTTAGGTATTGGTAGAAATGGAGAGAAAGTTTCAAAATCTGGAAGAAATTTTGAAGGTAGGAATACCAAGAGTTGTGTATCAGAAATAAAGGAGTGGGAAGAGTCAAGATGACTGTTTTCAAGTCTAAAACATTTGAAAATATTTTCTCCCTTATATTTAACTTTCACCTTTTCTGAAAATTATCCTGATTGAGCTAACTGAAGTCTTGTCTTGTTTTTTCAGAGTTGGCCCATCCATTCCAGGGCTTAGGAGTAGGTCAACACGCTTCTCAGCTTGAGTCGGTCACAGTTACCAGCAGAGGAGAGTAAGACTTATGACGTCCCTGGAGAGTCACCTGCTGCTTTCATCCCCCAAGCCCTGCAGGCAGTGAAGGCCGTCTGTCCAGTTCCTGTCCGCAGTGGACGCCTGCAGCCCACCTCCTATGCACTCCAGCACCCCCATCAGCTCCCTCTTCTCCTTCACCAGCCCAGCAGTGAAGAGACTGCTAGGCTGGAAGCAAGGAGATGAAGAGGAGAAGTGGGCGGAGAAGGCGGTAGACTCCTTAGTGAAGAAGCTGAAGAAGAAGAAGGGCGCCATGGACGAGCTGGAGAGGGCCCTTAGCTGTCCGGGGCAGCCCAGCAAATGTGTAACGATCCCCCGGTCCTTGGACGGGCGGCTGCAGGTGTCCCACCGCAAGGGTCTGCCTCACGTTATTTACTGCAGAGTGTGGCGCTGGCCAGACCTGCAGTCTCACCACGAGCTGAAGCCCCTGGAATGCTGCGAGTTCCCATTTGGCTCCAAGCAGAAAGAGGTGTGCATTAACCCCTACCACTACCGCCGGGTGGAGACGCCAGGTGAGCTTGCCTTACGATCGCATGCTGTATTTTCAGGGCTAAGGGCGTGTATCCCACTTGATGGAGAGTGATGGGGCACAAGCAAGACAAGGACCCATCCCCAACTCTCCAAAAGAGGAAGAGGGGAGGGTAAGGGAGGGAGGGGAGGGGAGGTTCAGTTTTGAGGAACTTAGCCAAAATTTTGCAGTCAGAAAAATCCAGAAAGATGAATATTCATTTCAGTATACATGTAAGCTCTGTGTGATTTTGAAAAATTCGGTTTTAATTTGATGTGTTTGGAGTCATCATCATCATGTTTTTCCAGTTCTTGGGGCCTTTGAAGATCTTGACATAATTAACTGTAAAAAAATCAACATCCCCCTCCCCTGAACTGAACTGACCAAACTAAAATAAAGCAGGTTTCTTGGCTGTCACTTTCCAGATGCTCAGGTAAGTGGAGGTAGCTCACTTCTGGGTTTGAAAACAACCAGTGAAAGAGTTGCTGGAAATCCTCCTAGGACTGAAAAAAAATCCTCTTAGGATTAGCAGGTGTTCTTAAAAATGGCTTTAAACACAGAAAAGTATTGTTTTAAAACTCTTCACACTCCCAATGTGCATGTGTGAGCACACATACAGTGCGCCCCCTTTCAGAGAAGTCTGGCGTTGCTCTGCATTCCTTCCCGTTGGCTGTGGCAGTTTGACTGCATTTCTCTTTGAGTTGCCTCATTCCAGGAGACCTAGGGGCAGGCCCCGAGCTCAGGGAAACGGACATGTCCGCTAAGGGATGGTTCTGTCTAGGCAGACAGGCCGTGGAGGGAGTGCAGCATGCTGCTTGCCTCCAGGGTTCAGTTAACCTTACAGCAGTGCTGATAACTGCTTCATACCCAGCCCAAAGCAGGCTTAGCAAGGCAACTGTTCAGGCTCCCGTATCACACCATCATGTTGTAAAACTGTTGTCAAGGAAGTCACCTGCCAGGGTGTGACTGCCTCACACAGTCACTGCATCCTGGGATTGAGTCCCTGCATGAAATTGTGATGAGAAAGTCCTAGCCTCCTGACGAATCTGATACATTTCCACCAGATCATACAGGTCTTCGCTTTCTTCCCTTCTTTCCTGCTTTTCTCTGGGCAGTCTTTCATACTTAAAAACAAAAGTCATTAGTGTCTGAGTTTATGACAGAAAGGATTTGATTCTTTTTGTTTCAAAATTTGAGTTATATTAAGTATTCAAAATATACCCAATGAAAAAATGTTCTTTAAGAAATCATGTCTCTCTTCCTGAATAATATAGTTGTAAAAAGTATCTTGTAAAATGTATCTGGTTTTCCTTTCAAATACTAGAAGACCTCATTTTAGTTTTTCATATTTCTTTTAGGAATGGTAGTGCGAATGTTTTTATGTATGGCAGATAGATTTCATATAGTATTTTAGGTTTGACTTTCCAAAACAAAAAATGGGTAAAGATTGTGTTAACTTTTAAGATAATCTTTACACCACACAGGTTTTCTATTTCTAACTTGATTTTTTTTTATAGAAAAAAGGATTTTATATGTAACTTTTTGGCCATGTTTAAAGTAAATATTTTGAGAACAGTGAAGATATTAATATTGAGCAAGTTTGCTGGATCCCTAATTATTATAAAGCTTACGCTTTGCCTGTGAAATCTGTCATTTTTTGATTTCTCATTTTAGGAACATTGTAGCTGCATTCTGATTTTCTTTTTCCTTACACAACCACTTAAGTAATGTATTTCAATGCTTCTCAAATGATCTGTAGTAAAGGACCAGTTTTTATTTTTTAAATCTTTAATCCTTCAAAAATTGGTACTTTTCCTAGGCAAATGAACTTTTAAAAAGACTTACAAAATACAAGCCCAACTTTTTTATTATTCATTTCAACAGATATAAAATTACTCTGTCAAATTGTTTTTAAAGTTTCTAACCACTAATTCTCAGTTTCAGTACTCGTAGCTTCATGGACTGGTACCCACAGTTGGTGAAGTGTCACTTGTCTTCAGGCCAGTTTGTGTGGCTCAGGTCTGGTACAAGCTGTGTTTTCATGGCACATGATGGTTTTACTCCATGTGCTACTCTCACCTGTCATGGTTTAGTTATTTCAGGAGTATAATTTCTCCTTTACTAAAACATTCATACTCGATTAAAACCATGTGATATTTGAAAAAAAAATACAAAAGTTTTCTTCAGCTCTGTCTTTCACCTTCATATATGCTTCATATATGCTGTTTTTCTCTGTGTAACACTTATCTATTAAGATAGTATTATATTTAAAAGGTAGCATAAAACAAACAAATGTCTGTAAGCTCACCGTGTCATATTTGCAAGTAGCAGTTGAGATGTGAAAATAGAAATAATTATTGCTATAGATTAACTACCCGTGTCCCCCCAAAATACATGTGTTGAAAACCTAAGATGTTGTTAGCAGGTGTGGCATTTGGGAGGTGGTTAGGTCATGAGGACAGACTCTCACGAATGGGATCAGTGCCCGTGGAGAGTCTCCCGGAGCTCCTTGGCGCCTTTCACAATGTGGGATCACAATGAAAAGTTGGCAGTCTGCCGCCTGGCAGAGGGGTCTCAGCAGAACCCAACTATGCTGCACCCTGGTCTCAGACTCTCAGACCTCCAGAATGAGAAATACATTTCCATTGTTTTTAAGCTACCTGGTCTGTGGTATTTCTGTTACAGCAGCCCAAATGGACTATGGCAGCTGTGTTTCGAGTGAAAGTATTTAAAAATATGGTCAGTGCAGATCTAAGGTAACTGAGCCAGTCCGGCCAAATCACTACTGGATGATACTATCAGTTTTCTTTACAAATATTCAGGTTTTACCTGAATGATAAAAATACATTATCAAGCTCTTCATCTCAGTAAAGAAAAACATAGTCTTTCCTCTCTTTTGGAGCCTCAGTCTACAGGCCATGAAGAAACAGAGGTCTGCATTCAAGAGGGCGTGAGACATTGTATTTGTCAATGGTAGGAATAGATTGCAGGCATCTCACATTAAAGCTGAAGTAAGAGAGATTATTTAGATTCCTCTTCATCCAAAAAAGGAAAATGAGTATTTATTTGAATTTTGTTAACATTGCGATGAAGAAGCATCATTGAAAAGAAGCCATATGTTATTTACTGTGTCAGCCCCTCGCTTTCAGACTATTCATAAGGCAAGTTATCTTTATAATCCTGCATATTCGTAGGAGACATAAAAGGAAATTCGTTTTTGCATGATGATGTCGAATGTTTACTCTATAATGTCATAAGAGAGTATATACAAATACTGGCTTTTAAATGGGAAGAAATCATTTGTTTCTGTGCTACTCTCACCTGTCATGGTTTAGTTTAAGACTTTTCATTTTTGTGTTTGCATTTATTTTCTATATGTAGAACTGAAAATTATTGCTTGTTAAGAAAGAGATAAATGTATTACGGTAGGTAAATGGTTGATTTTGTGATTGTAATTGTTGCTGTTTACTCCCAAACATTTATTTTTTATGAAAATTTTTATCAATAGTGTGATTAAAAACTCAATAGTGTGATTAAAAACAAGATCTATCCTATCCATCTCGAGGAACAATCTCTATTAGTTATTCTTGCTTAATTCTTTTTCTAGTTCCCTCTTTTATTACTAAAAACTATGGAGGTAACTATATATGTGTTCAAATTTGTCACATTTAGATAATATCATTGACTGTTTAACATAAAAGATGAGGATTTGGCTAATTTGTATTGCCTTCTTCCTTTCTTCTTCTTCTCAAACCTTAATATTTATATTTTGGTTTATAGTTTATATTATTTTTTGGTAATTCAGTTGGTTTCCATCATGGGATTTGAGGATAAGAATTATTTTTCCTTGAAGAGCACTGGCCCATTGCCTTCTAGCATCCAGCACTGGTGGTGGGAAGTCGTAAGTCAGTTCGATTCTCATTTCTTTGTAGGTGACTTTGAGATGATCCTGTGGGACTTTTTAGAATATTCCACTTGTCTAAATGGTATGACTAGGTTTGGATCATTTTTCATTAATTGGGCTGTGCACTGTGGCTCTTTTCAGTCTGATGACATAGATTCTTCTGTAGTTCTGGGAAATATTCTTCAGCAGATATTCTTTGATCACTTTCTGTTTTCTCTGCTCCTCTGTTCTTATGTTGGTCATAGGTTACACCTCAATGACAGTTATTGAATACCTTTTTTCTGCCAGGCACTATGACACTTTAGAAGTCAACGGGAGCTATGAATGCCTGCACAATGCTTGCCCTGGAGAATTGCATCCATTCCTGAGTTTTTGTATAGAATCAGGATCAAGAAAACTCATGTTCTTTTTAGTGTGGAACCCAGAAGGAACATGCTAAAACGAACAGGCTTTCTTTATAAGTTCTCTATTGCTGCTTACCTTTTACTTATTCACTTTTATTATTACTCACCGTTGATCTTTTACTTAACAACTTTTAGTTGCCTTTAAATATTTCTGGTAAAGACAGGTAGAATGCTTTCATTTTAGCAGTACAATTGAGCCTAAAATTTAGGTTGGTCATCTAAATAATTCATCATGATCTCTGAAGTAAAAGTATTTTGGGCATCACTTTGGGGTTTTTTGCAAGCAATAGAAACCTAATTTGCCTTAAAAGAAAAAAAGAAAACCAAACACTTTATTGGCAGATTCAAAAGAAAGCGTGAACAATTAGGTCTCCCGAAGATCAGGTAATAGGGCGGCTCCGGTAATTTCTGTGGTAGGAATGAATAGGCAGTTTCTCTTCAGAGTGCTGACATCAGGATGATTCTTCTCCAAGTTTTTGGCTAATTGTGACATTCTGCTTAAGATTTAGGCTTCAGGGAGTGAAACCATTAGTTTAGCTTGATTCACAAGTTCACTTTTGGAGAAGAGATAAGACCTTAATAGACAGTTTTACAATGAGTGCAAAGAATAATGGAGCGGTACTTCCCAAAGGAAAAACAGTTTTATCATCAAAAATGGTCAGACAAAAACAGCAAATGTCCAGTATGTTCTGTGCCGACAAGCCAGTGTTCACTTCTAACCCACTGTTCCCTTTCTCATCCCAGTGCTGCCGCCTGTACTGGTGCCAAGACACAGCGAGTACAACCCCCAGCTCAGCCTCCTGGCCAAGTTCCGCAGCGCCTCCCTCCACAGTGAGCCACTCATGCCACACAACGCCACCTACCCGGACTCTTTCCAGCAGCATCCGTGTTCTGCATTCCCCTCCTCGCCAGGGCAAGCGTTCTCTCAGTCCCCATGCACGGCCAGCTATCCTCACTCCCCAGGAAGCCTTTCTGAGCCAGAGAGCCCCTATCAACACTCAGGTCAGTACAGGCTGCCTGTGCGTGGAATGCAACCCAACACAGTTATTTTTGATGTGCCCATGATAATTGTAGCCACTGTAACTCATGTTCACACAGAGCCTTGCAGCTCACAGGGCTGTCTCCCATGGGCCCTCGTACCCTGCCCAGCCTCTGAGACGATTGGGGCTAGAGCCTTTCTGCAGTAGTCACCCTGGACCTACATGTCTTTGCTCTGCTTCCTGGCCCTAATCTTCTGGAAGCTCGCAGAAACTAACTGGATTTGAACAGCATCTCTGGGAATTTCCAGAGATTTTTTTTTTTTTTTTTTAAAGCAGTAGCAATAAGACTATAAAAGACTTCTCTAACTTGACCAGGAAGACTTGGCCCCAGGGCAAGCACTGTAAGGGATCGGTGCTAGGCCTTTTCTTTGGCTGCCTCTGTCAGCAATCGGAGGGAGTCCCTACCTACGCAAGATGTGTGCATGATGCTAGTGCATGGCGGGAGCCCAGCTGCAGCCAGGGCATTCTCCTTGTTTGCTGTGGGGGGCCAGCACAGCATCTTGAAGGTAGACCTAGCGAGGCATGTGGCAGGGAGAGGGTAAAGCAAGCCCATGGTGGTGACTGCGTGTGCTCCCACACCTATGAAGCGGGTCTGAGCTAGGTAATGAAGAAGAGACTTTCCGTACCTCATGAGTGTGACATAAACAATATCATGAGCTGACAAGTCCCTAAAGGCATGCATAAATGCGTTTGGTGATCTGCCTCGTTCATGTCTTCATATATACATTTATTTATTTAGTTATTTAGTTGTTGTGGAATTCATTTATTAGGAGGACATTCTGAGAATGCTTTCCCATATATACATTTATTTAACAGGTTCACTGAACTCTTACTGCATGCAAGCACTGCTTTAGGGGGCTGAAAGGAAAATTAAAATATTAATAAAAATTGTCTTTGTCCTCAAAAACTCCTAAAATGTGGGAAGGTAAATGAGTTGCCCTTTCCCTTTCAGATTATTCAGTTCTTACTTTTCCCTCCTCCACAATACATCTATTTTACATATACATTTACTGTCAAGTTTATCACACTGTATTACATAATTCTTGCGTCTGTCTCCCATCTCTCATCTCTCAGTCATCTTCTCTATCATATGTCTATCACAGAGCCTAAAATACAGAAGTTGCTCCTTAGTTGATTATACAGGCATTTGAATCTTGGGAGTAGAGCTCAGGGTTACTGATGTCGATTTTATTGAGTCATCAAATAATGACCGAGCACCTGCTAAGTGCCAGACACTGACCTAAATGCCAGAAGGTACAGTGATAAAGGACAATGGTCTCCGACCTTCCAGAGGCAGTGGCTACTGAGAACAATCATGTAAATAAGTAACACAGTGTGATAAAAGCTCTAGCAGTCCAGGCTAGCAGTTATGTTACCAGCGTTGGGGTTGTTGGGTTCTGCAAAATAGAAATCGAGAGGAAACCCCCAAATGGTTTCCAGACAGGTTTTATTAAGCTTATGCGAAGGCAGGAGGTGAGCGGCGGGCAGTTGAGCGAAGCTTCATCTGGATTTACAGCCGCTCCCCAGCGCCAGCATCGCCACCTCAGCTCCACCTCAGATCATTAGGCATTAGATTTTCATTGGAACACCGGTCCTTGGTGCCAAAAAGGTTGGGGACCACTGTGTAGCTGACAAATCTTGATCAACTGCACATGCAAATAGAGGTTTGGTTTGACATCTGTATAAAGGTAAAATGCCTTAGGGAGATAAAATCAGCTACTTCTGCATTTTTGCATAAGGCGTGGGATACCCTGGCCTAAGCCCCTCTGCCGTCTCAGTTACAAGGACTTGAACGAAAGTGATGTGGGGTTAGAAAGAAGGCAGTGAATTTGAGGAGGCAGAATCACCAGGACTCGATGTGGGGATGAAGGGTGAGCTGTGCCCTGGAAGTCATTTAGAGTAGAGGGCATGGCTGCAGTCTTGCAAGTGGCTGAATTCACGGAGAAGGGGACACAACAGGAGAACTCATTTGAGGACAGGGCACTAGTTAAGGGACAGAAAGATAATTATATTGCAAAATATATGTTTATATAAAACACATTTGTGCTATAAAGATTTCCTGCACTGACTTTGTGTTCCTGCAGTGGTTAAACTAACAGGCTGATGATGGCTTTTTCCTCTTCCCGCCCATGAAAGACAGAGCCCAGCACTATCAGATGCTGGTTAGTTTCTCATGGGGGGACTAGCCCTTTTAATTTAAAAAAAAATGATAATTCTTTTCTGAGTGATTAACAGCAAAATGCCAACCCAAATAACAGATTTATGGATAAATAGGCTGGAAGAACTTTTGAAATTAACTGGTTCAGCTCATTAAAGTTTTTTAACAGCTCTATTGAGATGTAATTCACATGGCATACAGTTCAGCCATTTAAAGTGTGCACTTCAATGGTTTTTTCATATATTGTATTATATTTTTTAAGTTGTAAAATATACATCACATATAACTTGCCATTTTAACCATTTTTAAGTGTATGATCCAGTGACATTAAGTGCATTTGCAATGCTGTGCATCTATCACCACTGTTTCTATCACCCCGGACAGAGAGGGACGCATTAAGCAGTGACCCCATTCCCTGTTGTTGCCCCATTCCCTGCCTTCTAGCCCTGGTAAACTCTAACCTACTTTCTGTCTCTAAATTTGCCTCTTCTAAGGTGTCTCATATAAATGAAATCATACCTTATTTGTCCTTTTGTGTCTGGCTTACTCAGCGTAGCAGAGTGTTGTCACAATTCTTCCATGTTGTAGCATTTGTCAGTTACTTCATTTTTGTGACTGAACAATATTCCACAATATGAATATAGCACATTTAAAAAAATCCGTTTATGGGTCTGTGGATATTTGGGTTGTTTCTGCCTTTTGGCTATTGTGACTAATGCTGCTATGAATGTTGATGTACAAGAATCCAGGTCCTTGCTTTTAATTCTTTGGGGAATATACCAAAGAGGGGAACTGCTGGGTCACATGGTAACTCTCTGTGTTCAGCTTCTTAATTTTATAGACGATTTACTCCTCATGGCTACATCCAACCATAGACTCAGAATTTTGAGGGGTGGAGCCAGGAATCTGCGTTTTTAAGAAGTTCCACTGACAATTTTTTATACACAGTTAAATGTGAGAATTACTTGAATGGACATTCAACAAAGACAGATTGAATCAACCTTTTATGCTGTTGAATTCTACCACTTACCTGACGAGACTGTTCTGAGCTGACATTAAGAATATGTGCTGAAGAAGTCAGTTATTCTAAGGTCCTCACTAAAGAGTTCTCTGCCTCAGGAGTTTTTATTGCATTACGAATTAATTTCTGATAAGATGTTCCCTATTTGAATGTATGCCATTTTCCTAACCATGATTACTGTCTGATCATGGAGCTGATATTCTGGGGAGAAGGGCCCTTCTCAGCATGCATCAGGCTCAAGATTATGATTGAGTTTCAGCTGTTCTGTGTTTAGGGGACACATTTTGAAGAATCTCAGAGACAGAACATCCCTGTGTCCGTTGTACAATCCTTGGCAACAGAGGAACTGAAAATTAAGCCCATTTCAAAGAAGGGTTAACTTTCTCTGTTTTGAAAACCAGGTAACAGATTCTTCTGCTATTGAGAAAAGCAAGGAGAATAGTTCTTAGATTTGAAAATCTTATCCTGAAGCCATTTGAATTCAGTGATAACTCATAAGTCAAAGGGAAAACTAACCAATCCTTTAGTGAGCTTAGGACAACCCTCTTCTGTAGGACATTCACCATGTCACTTCATAATACCCTTATTATGTTACTAGTCTCTCTTTAGCAAAAACTCTGTCTACTAAGCCCAGGCGTTTAAAGGCCAAAATGATTGGATCGGGCTGTCTTTGTGTAGTTTATCAGTTTGACATTCCTTTGTTTTACTGCTTTCTTTTAGTTGACACACCACCCCCGCCTTATCATGCCACAGAAGCCACAGGGACCCAGAATGGCCGACCTGTAGATGCCACGGCTGATAGTCATTTAGTACTATCAATGCCTAATGGAGGTAACTTTGCAGATGAACAGCTAAATGTAGCTGTTTTCCAAGAGTATGTCCTGAAACAAGAGTATTACCCTAAAACAAAACGAATCAAAAACCAAACCAAACCAAAACAAAATGTGCTGGCCTGCTATTTCGCAAGTGTTTTAAGGGACAGAGAGCATCGCTTTGCATTTTAACTTTGGCATTCCTCAGTAGCATAGAGTGAATTTTTTCTTTTTAAATCATCCTGGTTACTAGAATATATTAATTTTTTATTTTAACCTGACATTTTAGAATTTTGTAGTTTTTGATGTTTCATATGGATTTGAGTGTTTAAGAAGTTAGAGATTTTGTCCCATTTGTGCTTTTACTGTAGATTGAGAGTGGTGTCTTTCATTTGGCTTAGAGGCATGCTCTTAAAATTTGTGTAAATAGGGTTTTTACAAAATGTTATTTGTCTTAACAGTAGCTAGGGAAATGCCCCTCAACTTTAATGTTCATACACACCATCTGGCAGTCTTGTATGAATGCAGATTTTGACCCTCCGGACCTGGGGTGGGGCTGGAGAATCTGCATTCCTCACAAGCTCCCAGGTGAGCAGAGCTGTGTTCCAGGAACCACACTGAGTGGGGAGCGTCCAAAGACATTTACTACTTAGACAATCTCAGAGTGAATTCTTTTATAAGTTAAGGATCTTTTGTAAATCAAATAACCCCTAATTTATCTGTTTTATAAATTCGTATTTAGTGCATAAAGGAACACACTCTAGATACAAGAATGGCAAGGATATTAAAAAAAAGATCAATCAGTAGAAAAGCAGAGCAAGAGTGTAGGTAACAAAGAAAGAACTCTGAACTTTCATTGGTTACTTTAAAAAATTTGGGGTGAAAACATAACGTTCACAGATTTCCTGATGAAATATATAGCTCTCTTTAAAATGTTTTTATGGCATAGATAACTAAGTGTTCCATATGTGCACTGCAGAGAATGTGAACAGTTTGTCTAGGTGGAAGTTTTTTTTCTCCTTTCTTAAATAATTTAAAGTCCTATCCAGCGTTTCTGATTTTTTTTTTTTTCATATCCAAACTGTTATTTTTCATCTTTAATTTGTTAGAAAATGGTACTCTGCCACAGGGATTCAGTCTGGCACAGTGATGCGCTGTGTCGCACATGTAGAGGCGAGGTGACCTGCCAACTACCTTTAGGGGCGTGAGGTGTACACAGATGTGTTCATAGTGTTGTTTGCCCGATCCCCTCAGTACTCATAAATATGTGTACAGATGCTCTCACCATGGGTGAGTCACTAGGTCCGTGGCCTCTGACACACATAAGCTCACCACAAACAGTTTCCATTAAAGTGACAGATTTGAAATGATCGCAGGGAAGCACACTTGGTCTTGGAGCCAACTTCTGCTTCACAGCTTTGACCTAAGTCTCCCTATGGAATCAGGAGGTGGGAGCCCAGGCCGACCGTGGTGATGCTGACTGGTTCGTTTCCTTTCAGACTTCCGGCCAGTGTGCTATGAGGAGCCGCAGCACTGGTGCTCAGTTGCCTACTACGAACTCAACAACCGAGTGGGGGAGACGTTTCAGGCCTCTGCCCGGAGCGTGCTCATAGACGGATTCACAGACCCTTCCAACAGCAGGAACAGATTCTGCCTCGGACTTCTCTCTAACGTAAACAGAAACTCAACAATAGAAAATACGAGGAGACACATAGGAAAGGGTAAAAGAAATATGCAATTCCTTTATATGTTCTCTGAGCTGAAACATGGAACTAGAAACAAACCGTGTATTGGCTGTGTAATCTGGTGGGGTGGCTGCTGGGCTGGCGGGCCAGGGGACTGTTCTGGGATGACCATTGGAGAACACCTGTGGGCTTCTAGCACCTTGGTTTCTCTGCCCCTCACACTGGAGTGGCATCTTCTGCGGGGTGATGCAGGGTGGGTATTATGAAGACAAACATAGTGATAAATATAAACGTAGGGTGAAATTATTGAATAAAAGGATTATGAATTATTTTTGAGTTGCTAAGGATAACTTCTGAAGAAGAGGAATTCTGGCTGCCTGATTATATGAGGTAAAGTTACCTTTGGAGACTTCGAAGCTGGGGAGTCCTGGCTTACTTACAATTGGAAGTGACTGGGGTTCGGTGCCCAGGAATTGCTACAGCAGTGCAGTGGGCACAGGCCTCCCTGGGGTCTGGCTGGTGTTGCTTTTGAAGCTTCTCTTACCAGAGTGATCAAGGGTGGCAAATGCCAGCGGAGTATGAGGCCTGGTTGAAGATCTTGAAATCATTTCATTTTAGAATAGTTGGTAGTGTCTGAGAAATACCTGGTTGGCTGCTACTACCATGTCAGGCTGCTCTAGAACTGCAGATGTAAAGAGTCTTCAGGGTCAACTGATCTTTTTCCTCCCCATCCAGCACTTAGGCCTCCCTGGGAAGGGAGCCACAAAAGCCCTTTCTTTCAGATTTCTGGGGGAGAGTCATTATTTCACTTGGTGACACATTCTAATATTCTTCCTAACTTACCTCTTAAGTCAGTGGTCCCCAACCTTTTTGGCACCAGGGACTGGGGCTCCTATGAGAATCTAATGCATGACGATTTGAGGAGGAGCTGAGGCGGTAATGCTAGCGCTGGGCAATGGCTGCAAATAGAACCTTTGCTCGCTAGCCAGCCGCTCACTTCCTGCTGTGCAGCCTGCTCCTCACAGGCCACGGACTGGTACCGGCCTGGACTGGGAGGCTGGGGACCCCTGTTCTAAGTGCCTCCTGTTGTAGTAAACTTACAGGTCGTTGATTAGAAACAGGTTGAACTCACTGACCAATGTCGACTCTTAATGGCAACAGTTACTTAATGTTTGTTTATGTCCTGTGTGTTCCCATAGTGGCTTTGAAGTGGCTTACAGGAAACCTTTGCAGAGAAATGATAAATGAAAAATAGGTCGGAAACTGAGAGGAGAGGAAGGAGAATAGGAGAATGTCATCTGTAAGGGTTAGCACTGCGACTGTGATTGAAATTTCACTCTAGGTTTCCTGACAGGGAGGTCAGAAAAGGGACACTCGCTCTGCAATGCCGCCACCCTCTCAGCAGAGCATGTACCTTGAGCTGTGTTTCCTCTAGTGCTGACGGTTTTTGCTGCCTCACTCACCTCCGCTCTTTCGCCCTGCTTTCAGTCTAATTGGACACACTGTGAGATGGTGGGGCTAGTACAAAGCATGTGTTTGTATCCTTGGAACAGTTAGCTGGTGCAAAGGCAATTGAACCTCTTACGTTGACCTCACTGGCAAAGTGCTTTAAATTGTCATTAGCAAGTTCGTGCTGGCATACCAGGCACTACCACTTACTATCAGAGGCAACACCCTGAAGAACTTGAAACACTATACTCTAATAAAGAGTCTATTTATATTATTTGAAAACTAGGTAAAACACTTGAACTCTTTCAAATGACTAACCGCTACCCCCACTGATTTCGTCACCTGTGTGAGGCATGCCGCACGCACTTGCAGTTAGATTTTCTCCGTCCCATTTCACAGACGAGACAACTGAAGCTCAGAGAGTTCGGGAGCTTACACGTGGTCACGCGAGTGGTGCTGGGGGGTTGCACCCACGGCTCCGTCTCCCAGGCCCAGTCACCCCCCGCCTGCCTTGTTATCTCGGCGTCCTCATAGTACATTGCTTGAAGAACTGAACCTTTTGATATGGAATGAAAATACCCATCCTGTGCCACAGCAGTGGCATGTCACAGTCCAATTTGAGATGTTAAATAAGGCACTACTACTAATCATAAAGTGCTTGAATTGTACAATGATTTTCTTGAAAAATATAAATCAGAGAAGATTTTATGTTTGCTTTATAAAAATATTCTAGAAAAAGAGTACTGTGCTGAGCATTACACAGAGGCCCATGGGAGAATAATAAGGATCTTTACAGGAAAAGGAACCACTACATACAGTACTTGTATGTGACTGCACAAAATAAAGCAAAGGTCATTGCCTAGCGATTTGGAATGATGGAATAGCCAGTCTAGGTCACTGGAGTGTAATACTTGCCTGATTTATTTTTTAGAGTGGCTTTTAGGATGGCCACTATTTCCAAATAATTAGGAAAACCACAGTTTCATGTCATTTTGAATTGACTGCATGAAGAGATATGCTCTCAAGATAATGAGGTAAGATTATATTTCTTAGAAGGGCCTGACAAATAATCATGATTAATAGTACAACCATCTCTGAGCACCTATGATTTGTGCTGTCACTGAAGTTAGCTCCTTGTAATGAGCTGTGCCAGGTTCTTGACATGAAAATGACACTTGAGCAAGAAAGGCACGTTTCTCTCTTGCATATGTAGACTTATCACCTTTGTCCTGTTAGTTATTCTTTCTTCTCCTAGTTAGTTGGGAGAAAAGGTCAGTAGTTATAATAATTTCTGAGGCATTAACCCCAGTTATTGTACTCAGTGAGAGGAACCAAAACCTTCCTGAAAATCATTATCTTATATTCCAAATCATTGAATTGTTTTTGGAATTCGTTTTTCACCTTTTTATGAAACTTCATTTTTCTGATTATCTCAAGTTCTGAGGAATTCCAGTAATTATTCCTGTTTTCTAGAAGGAATTACCCTGGGGCAAGGCTTTGGTTTGCCAGTTCCTTGGAAAGCTGGTTTGTACCTTGAGGTGATTTTGGATTGCGTCCTTTCCCAGTAAATTTAGTTTCTCTGTCTCAAATGCTCTTTTCTTTCTGCCTTCGAACATGTGTAAGGCTTCTCATTCTTTAAAAAGCGAATCCTAAAAAAAGTTTTAGTATTGACTGTTGTACTAACACAGTCATTAAACTCGATGTTGCAGAATCCTTAATATCATGAGAAAATGTTCACAATGTATTAATAAATGAAAAAGTTATAAAACATCCTATAGAGTATGATCTCAGTTTTGCTTAAAAAATACACATAGAAAAAAAGACTGAAAGGTTTATAACAAGTGTTACCTCTGATTATTTCTGGGCTGTGGATTCGAGGCTAATTTTTATTTTTCAGTGTCTGCATTTTCTAAATATTCTCTGGCGGGCTTTCTTGGTGTGAGGACAGGGTAGGAGGGCGGGCCCAGCCCAGCCGGCCGGTCGTTGAGCGCTGAGTGACAGAGGGGCATTCAGTGTAGTTCAGTTGGGCCCAAACCTGTGCATTCCGTTGTTCAGAGACACTTGAAAGTCTTTAAGTACAAATTTGGGGGACCGACCTCGAAGTTGGCTTTGTGTGAATTAGGAGACCCTTTCTCAGGAGAAGTAACTGCCATCTCCTGGAGAAGTGGAGAAGTCTTTTTTTTTTTTTTTAAGGCGAGGCAGCCCTTGGTTGACCTTACAGATTGCAAGGACTTTGTCAGCTTACAATCCCTTATTTTTTACTTTTTACGCCTACAGCACCTGGTCTTCCTAGGTGGTCTCCCATCCAAGTACTAACTGGGCCCAACTCTGCTTAGCTTCCGAGATCAGACAGGATCAGGCTTGTTCAGGGCGGCATGGCCGTGGGCTTGTCAGGGCAGCATGGCCGTAGACTTGGAGAAGTCTTGTAATAATAACATATACAAATCTCGGGAGACCAAGGCACACCCCAGAGTTGTGCACAATTGAGGTACAGTCCTGCGTGGGGCCCACCTGCGCCCTCTGCACCAAAGTCCTGGTGTGGACCTGGAAATCTGTACTTTTCTATTATCAATTTTTTGTTAAAACATTTTTTATTTTGGAAAATTTCAAACATACATAAAAGTTTAGAGCATGTAATGAATCTTCATATTATCATCTCCAACTTCAGTAATGAGTCGCATTCTGTGCCATTCTTTTCTTCTATCCTCCACAACATTTTTATGAGAGTATTTTAAAGCAAATCTCAGACTTCATGCCCTTTCTCCCATACATTTGAGTACATATCTAACTATACAAGAAATTTCTAAAAATACTGTTCTTATGCACAGAAATATACACTTTTGTAAATCTCCAGATGATTCTGTTAATCAGCTAGATTTCAAAATAGTTGTGCAGAAGAGAGGGCAGCCAGGGCAGGGGGAAGATAGATTACAAAGCCGAGAGAAGGTGCCGAGTTTGTGCGAGTATATGTAGGTGTTTTTCTAAGGGGAGTGGAGAGGCCTGTCTCTGAGCAGAGCAGTGGAATGACAAATCTACTTTCTGCTGTGGTCCCCCTGACCCCCCAGCCCCTGCATCAGGAGAGGGGATCCATACTCATTCCTCCCACTTTGGGACATTGACTTCCTCCTCTCTCTATTAGTAGATTCCAGAGCATCAGAACCCTCTCGCCAGCCTAATTAATCTGCCCGTTTCCCAGGTTCCCCCGTCATTTCTCTGTAATTCAAGGCTACGGAAGCGGACTAAAAGACACATACTGGGCTTCGTTAACCAATGCCACAATAAATAAATAAATTAAATAAATAAATAAATAAATAAATAAATAAATAAATAAATAAATGATTTTTTTTTCCTTAAAACAAGAAGAGGACTAAAAGAGAACACACAATCAGACTCAGCAGATCCAAATCAAACCTGAGATGTCTCTGGTCCTAATTAAGCACAACACAGGACTCCTAGCTCTCTAATCTCATGACAGGTGGATGGCAGTCACACACAAAAAGAAAGCTCAGATAAAGAAAGACGTAGCCCAAGAAGAGATGTAGTCCAAGCTGTGGGTAGACCTTGCCTGAGGACCACACAGCCTTGGTTCTCATGGCCATCTCAGATAGCACTTTCTTTGAGCATTTATCCTTATTGCTTACTGTTCTCTTTGGTGATCTAGAATCTAATGAGCTTTATTCTATTTTGGTTTATCCTATGGCTGCAAATAAAATCATTTGCCTACTGGACTCTCCTTTAGATGCTGCTGTGTCTAGCCAAAGCCAGCCTCTTTCACATCCAGGCTGAATTCCATCCTTGTCCTGCTGCTCAGAGCCGGCTCAGGCTTCCTCATGCTCATCCCGTTGGCTCTGCTGCCCCTTCTGGTTCAGGATGCTAAACTATCGCTTACCTGCCCAGGCTCTTCTCTGCTTTGTTATTCTGCCAGCCGGGCTGTGGTTTCAGATAAGACTTTAACAGGATTGAAAATCATCCCCTAACTAAAGACCAGAGTCTGATGACAAATCTTATCTATTCTACTTAATAGGTTTAGGAGGATTATACATTTGAAGGTCAATTCAAATACACACTAAACACTTGAAAAAAAACTCTCTTTTGAAATACCCCAGGCACCCCAAGGCAGGCCTTTCCCTGGGAGTTCACAGGGTTGTTCAAGGAAGTTGGGGTTTGGAGATGCTCCTGTCTCACCTCCAACATGTCAGTCCAGCCAAGCAGCTATGTCCCAGCTAATGAAGACCATCCTCTGCCTACCCCTCAGGGCCTGGGCCATGGGTGTCAGACCCCAGACCCTTGAGAGTGAGTAATGGAGATGAGAAAGGGAAGGGACAGGAAGGCTGAGAGAAGAGAAGGGTGCCCTTGGCTTTATCTGCGTGGCTCTGGATCAGTTTCTTTAGAGTGAGAGGCTTGGAATACATAATCCTGAAAAGCGTTCTTTTATAAAATTGTATTAAGGGAAAGAAGAATGGAACAGGAAACAATAAATACGGTGGGGTGAGAGGTAGTCACGTAGAATGCATAAAGGCCTCAGTTGCTACTAGGAGCCTGACAGAGAAATGGAGCAGCTATCTCAGTAATGTTTCCTAAATGCAGAGTTATGCAAACTCAGGCCTCTCAGGCCTTTCAACCCCTGGAGGCCTATAAATTCTATTATCTAAAATTTTGTATTTTCATTTTGAGGAGATCCAAAATATATCCTTAGAAGTATATCTTGGTCCATTTCTATAAGGCAGTTGTATTTACGATCATGTTGACATCCACTGGTGAATTTTGTTTCTGCTAAAAGGATGAAGGAAAATGTTCTAGTATTTAATATTTATTAAAATAGAACTTCTCTAGTCTCTTGCTATATATTTTTGTTGAATCTCAAACCCGGACATTTGGGGAGAAAGAATTAACTCAAATTTAATTTGTAGTAAAAGCTAGTGTGAGCAGCAGTGTTCTCAGGATGCTCTTTTTTGCCTTTTAGCTCCAAGAATGTGAGATAAAGTAACATAAGCCACATTTTAATTGTCTATATCTGAAAATGTGGCAAGAATTTAATTTTAATTGTTCATAAGTAAAAAAAAATGGCATTATTTCTGTGATCTATATTAGTAGGTCTCTGAGATATTTATTAAGAGAAGTAGGTTTATAATTGTTGGTAAAATAAAATCTAAACTTCATTTATTGTTTCCTCTGAAGTGAGTTTAGTGTACACACTTAAGTAACATTTTCCACAATATCACCTGTATCCAGTTTTAATCTTTTATTTATGTATGTACCTGAAGGACTATTTGATGTTTTCTGCATTATGTATTTATTTTGCATCTAATACCATGAGCTCTTACTTTTCAAATGAATGAGTGTGAGATTGAGTGAGTGACAGAAGGAGCAGTACATATATGAGAGTTGACTTTATTTGTTCTCAGCAATGCCTGTAAACATGGGTTGCAATCACTTTTAAATGGAAAAAACATTATAATTAAAACTAGTTGGCATTTGTGTCACACATCTTCCTAATCTATGATTGGTGATATTGAAATTAACCTCCCAGTCGATAGTCACATCTCTTGAGGTTATAAAGGTCAATAAGCTAAATACATGCCGGTGTTTGAAGACTGTCTTTGCCTCCTAGGTGTGCATTTATATTACGTCGGGGGAGAGGTCTATGCTGAGTGTGTGAGTGACAGCAGCATCTTTGTACAGAGCCGGAACTGCAACTATCAGCATGGCTTCCACCCAGCCACGGTCTGCAAGATCCCCAGTGGTTGCAGCCTCAAGATCTTCAACAACCAGCTCTTTGCTCAGCTGCTCGCTCAATCGGTTCACCATGGATTTGAAGTCGTCTACGAGTTAACCAAGATGTGCACCGTCCGCATGAGTTTTGTTAAGGTAAGGACACTGACGGCTGGGCTTGTCAGGTAGGAAATGCAAACTAAACAGAAAGCAGTCTGGTTCATGTGGCAAGTTACACAGTCAGTTCAAGTACACAGCAGTTGTTTTGAAAGTCTATTTAATTGTTTATAGGAAGAGCTCTTCCAATGAGTATGAACTCTCCTGTTTGGCAATTATAAGAAAATTCTTAAGCATAATACTTTTGGAGGAAAAACAAGATAGTTATCTGATGTTTTTTCTAATGAAGAAGATAAAGCAACAATAAAAGTCCTATACCTTTATAGGACCTAATGCTAAGAGATATTTTTCATTCCTCAAATTGCCAAGCACTGTTGTCACTCAATAAATGTTGGTGAATTTGGCTGGATGAAATTAGAGACTCTGAATCTTAGAAAGCATGTAAGCAAATGGAGGAGATAATATTTATAAATAAGCTACAAAAAGAACTGACTCTAATACAAGATGCTATAAATTAAGTTGCTGTTGTAACAGCATAAACAAATTGGGATAGAAACATTATGGTGGCTATGATTAATTCTGAGAGAGTAGTAATGTTCTTTTATGAATATTGAATTTCTCAAGTGAAAGCTTATGAAAGTCGTGTGAATTTTGGAGAACTGAGAAGCTACAACTGGATTTGCACATTGCAGCTAATGGCCTCAGTTTCATCACCTGCTGTTACATCTCTTGCAGAATGATAGCAATTAGTCCTAATATTTCAAACTCTTAGCTTGTTTATCAAACTATCTGGGTATATGTGACACAGTTTTCACATTTTCACATATCCATTCAAGGAATCAGTATGGCTTGTTGCAGGTTATTTCAAAGTAAAATTTATTAGTCCTTTAAATTTGTCATGAAAAATAATTGTCTGGTTTTTCTATATTCAAATTATGTTTTTACTGTATTTATAATTTTAGTAATTATTTAAAAAAGAAAACTCAAGAATACAGTCTCCAATTTAAATAATGGCTTCTTGAAACCATTTCTCTTTCATGATGACAAAGCAGTTTTATTCAAATTTACTCATGAGCTTTAAAAAGCAGTTTTACATTGTAAACAGTTAATAAACACCTGGAAATTTTATCAAATGTTCTGATGGTTTAGAGCCGGCAGAGGGCATTATATTGCCATTAATGAACAATAATTTGAATTGTACAGTTATTTTTCAAGGTCTCTGTTTTTAAAATTAGGACGAGATGCCAGTATCTCAGAGGTAATTATTTCACTATAATTTGTGCTTTCATAGAAATCTAATTTTTCTAAAATCAACCAGATATATTTATCAGATATACAACATTTACATAATAAAGCTGCATAGTTCACAGAAAACAAACTATTACTAATTTTGCAGGGACTTTTAAACAAATAAATCCTTAGCAAATATAACTACAATCAGTTTAAAAAATTTTTAAAGTTCTTATCACATGAAAAAAATGTCTAACTAGGTGACAGATCTTAACTAAACTTATTGTGATAAGCATTTTGAAATATATATATCAAATCATTATGTTGCATATCTAAAACCGATACAATGTTATATGTCCATTATAGCTCAATAAAACTGGGATAAAAGGACAATATAAATAAAAAGAATATAAAATATCTCTTTAATAATTTCATATTGATTACATATTGATATGATAATATTTCAGAAATATTGGGTTGAGGGAAACACATTATTATAATTAAAAAATAAAAGAATAAAAGAAATTATAGATGACTAAACACCAGTGGCTGCTACTGGGGGTGATGGACTAGATTATCTTTAAGGTCTCTTTCAGCTCTAATTTTTACTAATTCTAGGACTCAGTCAGTCAGCAAATATTTATTGAGCACCTACCATGTGCAAGGCCAGGCTCCATTCCAGGCATTGGAATATATCAATGACGGCTTAAAGATCTCTGCCCTCATGGAATCAATATTCTAGGATGGAGAGACAGACAGTAAACAATAGCTATAATCAAGAAATTGAATGGGAAGAGAAAACGTGGAGCAGGGCAAAGGGAATTGCAGTGCTGGGGTAGGGGTGAAGTACAAGTTTTAGGTGGGCAGGCAAGTCTCATTGAAGAGGTAACATATCAGCAAAGACTTGAAAGAGGTGATAGAGTTAGTCATAGAGATATCTAGGGGAAGAGCTGTAGACATACCGAAGATCAAGGCCTAGGGCAAGAGGCAAGAGCATGCCTGGGAATTTGCAGGTTCAAGGAAGCCGATGTGACTGGAGCATAACGAGCGAGGGGAGGGGAGGTCGGAGCAGTACCGGGGAACCAGATTACTGCTTTGTAAGACTTCAAGGGTTTCAGCTTTTACTCTAAAGAGAAGGGAAGCCATTGCAGGGATGTAAGCAGAGGATTTTCATGATCTGACTTAGGTTTTTAAAGTATCACTCTAACTGCTATGTGAGCAGATGTTACGCAGGCAAAGTTGGAAGTAGGGAGACCAGTTAGGAGGCTATTGTATATTTCAGATGAGAGGTGATGGTTGTTCCTACTGGGAGAAGTCCAGTAGAAGTTTGCGAGAAGGGGAAGCATTCTGAATTGTGAAGGCGAATTTGATGAGGGGTATGAGAAAGAGGAGTTAGACGAAGTTGCTAGCAGCAGAGATGGCGAAGATGCGGGTGGATCAGGTTTGAATGCGAGATTAAGAGTTCAGTTTTACTGAGAATAACTTTGGATGTCTGTCACATACAAGTGGAGATGCCGAGTAGGCAGTTAGAGGTACAAGTCTGGACTTGGGGAGAGAAGTCTGGGTGGAGATGTAAATTTAGGAATTGTCAGCGTATGGACACTGTGGAACTCCATGAGCCTGGATGCGACCACCAACAGTTTGAGTTTAAACAGAGAGGATAAGGGTTTCTCGGATGGAGCCCTGGGACATTTCAACGTTAAAAGATGATAGAGAAGAGAAAGAACCTGCAAAGAAAACGGAACATGCAACTAGAAAACAGTGGTAAAACTAAGAAAGAAAGGTCCTTTGTAATCCAAAGAAGAAAGTGTGTTGAGGAGGAGCAAGGATGAGGTAAATCTAGTACTGCCCAAGTGACAAGAAGACCGAGAGCCAGTCATTAATTTTAGCTGTTGACGCTGGGGTGAAACGCAGATCAGAAAGGATTTAAGAGAATTGAGACAGCCAGTGCAGATGACTCTTTTTGAAGGTTTTTGCTAGAAAGGGGATCGAAGACATAGGGCAGTAATCTGTGGGGGTCGTAGGACCAAGAGGAGTATTTTGAAGATGGGGAATATTTCAGCATGTTTGTACATTGAAGGGAATGATCCCATAGACAGCAGAAGACTGCAGGAGAGAACAGGGAGAGTTCCTGGAATGCTGTCCCCAGGGAGATGCGTGAGTCTTATGCACAAGTGGATGGACCGGCTTATTTGGAAAGACATATATCTATGGTAAGAGATGGAAAGACGGAGTCTGTGGGACCAGGCACTGAGGAAATTCTCTTCTGATTGCTTCATTTCTCTCATTAAAATTGGAAAGATCATCCATTGTAGGTAGGCTGGGGGAGGAGGTGAGGTATTCATTTGGGGTGAGGGAGTGGGGGATGGGAGAGCAAAGGGCCTGGGGAGTATCCTGTGGTTTCCAGGATTTATCAAAAGTCCACTTGAGGTTCCTGGACACGAATGTAAAGTTTGTTCAGGCAGCGTGGTTGTTTGAAATCAAAATGTTAAATAACGCTACAGAGAATCAGTGTTCCCAATTACAAAACTAATTTGTTTGACTGGATCTCTTTTTATTTTAAAAATAACTTTTCGTTGATGTATAATATATAGAGAAAAACACACCCATTTATTTGTTTGTTTGCTTCCTCTCCTATAAGTGGTAATAAATGGGAAATTGCCAAAAGTAAGCCAGAGAGAGAGAAGAGACACACACTTTGTCAATCAATCCCGAATAACCATGAGCACCCTCCAGTTCTCTCTCTTTACAATTCGCAGATCCATCACTGGTCTCTAGAAACCATTTGTGCTAAACACTTGTCTTCAGCAAAGGGTGACTGCAAGGTCGAGTTTCTCACCTTGGGGAAGGGAAAACGATTTTCCGGTGTTTCCGTCGTGACTTGAACCCAGACCATCTCTAGGGCCGTGTATTCAGCTGTGAACCCAGAGGGAAGACATCGATTTGGACCAGGGTGTCTGGTCGGTGCAGAAGTTGTCGTGTGCTTACAGGAAGGTGCAGGTCGCGTTCCCGCAGACCTCATACAGGGTCCCAGGAGCGGCTCCGACGCATGCGCTCTGGGTCCATTGAGCTCCGCCTCCGCTCTGGAGGCTGACAGTTAAGTCTGGCACAATCACTCTTGGCTTCATTCTTGCTTTGCAGGGCTGGGGAGCTGAGTATCATCGCCAGGATGTCACGAGCACCCCCTGCTGGATTGAGATCCATCTTCACGGGCCACTGCAGTGGTTGGATAAAGTTCTGACTCAGATGGGCTCTCCACATAACCCGATTTCCTCAGTGTCTTAATAGTCATGTCTTAATCCACATTCTATGGAATAGATGCTATTGCAGGCAGTGGCTTATATCATTTCAGATTTGCAACTAACTAAAGTGTCTAAGTACATGTGTTCATGCAAATAGTATATACTCTTCATCTATTTTATCACCATTTGGTTTGTGCTTTCGAGTTAACCTGATGTCAGTACAGTGCAGTTAGAAAAGCAGGTTTTTTGTGCCTATGATATAAGAGGCAGCTTCTTCTGTGAGAAGATACAAACAAAAGGCAACTGTATCAATAGTATTTGAAAGGTGTCAGCAGAATAAAAGGCAGCCATGTCATTTATTTAGCCATGTCATTATAAGGCATGTTGTTTGGCGTACCAGAAAAATATTAAAACTGCTTATATAGCTAAAATCAGGTACTAGCAGCACTATAGCAATCAAACTCACATAATTTAAGTGATCTCACTGTTAGTGCTATTGGCAATAAAAAAATTAAGCTTATACAATTATGTAAGATAAGCTACGTAAACTTTGTTATTTCTAAAATTGAAATAACTATAGCTGGACTATTGTGCTCATATCAATGGCACCATTTAAACTGTGATTGGAAAAGAAAGAAACTGTGAAGCCGAAGTCATGTTGCCTCATAATCTACCACTGTAAACAAAATAATAAGTGTAATATGGCAAGATAAATATGAAAATACCATGAAATGAGCTATATTCCTAAATTGCAAAGTAAGATGAGAACTTAGTCCCAGAATCACCCAGGGAGATTCCCGCTTTCCACACTGGAAATCAGGCTCCTGTTTCCTGGTTATCAAAGTAGGTGGCCCTGTGACTTTTCAGTCTGCACAGCGACCTCTGAGACCACATGTGAAAGTCCTGTGTGGAGAAGAAGTCAGTAAAATAAGAGAGTTGGACAAAAGCATGATATGTTTACTTATACTTTCTCACATTCCCACATTAAAAAACTCTAGGTGAGGGCCTTCCTTTTGCCATAGTTTCCTCACCTGTTGGCAAATATCAACTATTTATAGGTCACGAGAATAATAGTGAAGACTTAAGAAAATCAAGACACATTGCTGGGATCAAATTTATGAATTATTTAACTTAGTGTTTCTATTGAATAAATTACCTACTGGTCAGACCTCGTAGCCTCTTATAAAGCTAACTTCCCAAGTAAAGTGATAATAATTTCATAATCTCTATAATCTCTGGAGAACAATGGGACTGAATAATAGGACATTTAAAAATATACAGTATTAAAAACTTGTTCTTATTTATTCTTAGATGATAGAGGAAAATCCTCCAAATTTCTAAGTCCTCTCATACACATATATATAATTCCCACCCACTAAACACTGCATTGCTTGGAAAAATATTTCACACCCTCTTAAAAGTGTATAATTTAAGAAGGTAATTATGCTTGTAATAGATGGTACTTCAGCAATTCAAGGTTTCTTCATTTATACATTTTATGTCAACTCTTTCTAGCATTATTGCACACAGTAGTTGTTTCTTGTTCAATTGTATTCAGGGTAGAAATGATCATGTGAAAAAGATATGAGTGAGCTACTACTGTCACCTCTTGTGATGACTAGTGTTATCTAATAGAAACTTTCATATATACAATAGAAAGTAAATATTACATTTTACATGAAAACTAAGTGGCCCATTTAGTGTTTAGAAAACCCCCTAGTTTATGAGTTCATCGGCTATGTTTTGTGCACCTGTTTGCGCCAGGTACAGCGTTAGGTACTGTGGAATCAGATGTAAGCCAGAGGCAGTCCCAGACCTCTGGAGCTCAGTCTGATAGTAAATCTGTGCAGATATCTTCACGTTTCTGAACTTGTAAAACAAAACAAAACATATGAGCTTTCTTTAGCTTGAGAAAAATGTAATCGATTTAATTATCTCTATTTTGAGACTTCTCTCTTCTGAGCAATCAGGTAATGGATGAAGTCTTTCTTGGATAAATGCCACTTTCTTTCATCCGTCAAAATTGTTTTTCTTTCTCTCCTTGCTTCTATTTCCAGTAATTCTCCATCTCCCCCTTTTTGGGAAAAAGCATTCACATGATGAGTCTTCCTCATCTGAGTATCGTTCCTCGAGAGAGCAGCAAGCACACGTGGTTTTTGCTCCAGAAGATCAAACATAGCTTTCTTGATCAAAATCTTACATCTTCACAGAATTATCAGAACTGGTTGTTTATAAATGACATTTTGAAAAATTGGATTTTTATACAGCTTTGAGAAACCAGGACAAACTATTCCAGTGCACCTGAATTATTTCTTTGAAAAATAAATGATTAAAGTGGTACATATGCATCATCATCAGTCATGTCTCACCAAATGCCTGTATTATTAGGATATGTGTGAAATTCAGGGGTTTTCTAATGGATGTGAAGTTAACCCTTCAGTCATTGTAACATAGTCACATTTTAATCAGCCTTTTAAAATTTTTGCTGGTAGAGTTGTCAAAAGTTGAAATGCAGTATTTGATTTTAGACTTCTAAATGTGCTCATTCACATTCATTCCTTGAGGTGGACAATCCGAAAAAAATGTAATAGCATTCTTTTATAGGATAACTAGCAAACGGGACGTGCTAAGCTATTAAATGAGTCAGTGGTGCCATACGTGTCTAAGGTTGCCATGGACAAGAGTCGTGCAATAAAGAAGATAACATTTTGTCCTGATCACAAGATCCAGGACATTTATCTTGTTGTTCAAGCCTTTTTGGTTTTTTTCTTGATAAAAAATTGAGATTTGAAAAGTTTTAGTTAGATATTTTAATACCTGCCAGTGCTTTGGAACTATAGAGTTGTCATTGTTTTTTTTTTGTTTGTTTTGTTTTTTTGTTTTTTTTTTTACACTCAGTATAAATCAGGAAAGGTAGAGATACAACCTAGCATTCAGAATCCTTTTTTCATTGACTTCAAAGGAACTGAATACCCCATAACAACAACACGAATGTTTTCTAAATAGAGTTTGCTAGACTTCAAGCACCTGCTTAACTTCAGTGTGTCCTGAATATTCGGTGTGTATATTCAGTAAATAAAGCTAAATATAACATGCATTCCAAAATTTGTCTTTCCCTGTTATGATTTAACAGCTGAACTGTATGACAAGATTTGGTGATCCTGGTGTATGTTGAGGATAAGTTCAAATTAATGTAAAACAAAACAAAGGAAACTATTCCTGTTGAAGTAATGCTTTTGATTGTAATATCTAGGCTTCAACTGTCCTTCAAATGTGCACTTACACTGTTATCTGAATGTTTATAATAAAGAATATTGTACCTATATGGCTTTGGGCTCATTTTACCCTGTAAACCTCACAGCGGGAGTCGCTGCATGTGGGTCCTTAGGATGATCTTGAACTATCTCATTTTGAAAATAGAATGTTTTTTAAAGTCCAACATGCTATAGAGAAATTAGGTAATGATTTTAAATTCAACATCTTGGATAACTGGCATTAAATGTAGAATCTTGAAAGTACTTTGCTGTAACTCGAGAGAGGAGAGGATATGAAGCTTTTTCCCTAAATAGTAGCAAATATTAAGTAATATTGCAGTATATAAGAAAGAATGAACAATATTATTATTGTGAACATCTGTACTGTACTTTGCTTTACCTGTCAGAAAAGTGTTAAAGAAAGCGAGTGAGGAAACAGCCTTAGTAACTTGATCAAGGTTTCGCTCTTCCTTTCTTTCTTTTTTTTTTTTAAGAAATGGAGCTCTTTTTCAAAAGAAATACTTTGTGAAGTTCCAAAATATAAGCAAATGAAAGACAAGCTATTCTGAGTTATTTATAGGTGGAGATCAAGCACCCTCCAGTTTAAGCTGTAAGTTTATTGAGGGCAGTGATTGTGTCTTATTTGTCTTTGCATCTCTCATGGTTCCTGACTATTCTTGCATCTAATATTTGGTATTGGCATTTCAAACACTAACTAGTACAGATTTTAAATATATCATGGTATAGACATAAACATTAGTCCATCTTAGAGTGTTTTCATTGTCGCAGAAACTTCACACATTTGTTTATCAGATGGTTCTTACGCATCAGCTACGACTAGGTGGGCACTGCAGTAACAATGACAACACAGTTCCTGCCTCCAAGAAACTTACCAGTTTGTGGGGGAAGATGCAGAAGGAAA